GTGAAACGTAACGTTTGGAAGGTTCGGAACCAATGATTCCAACGCGTTGTGACGTCTGGAGAATTAGGATCTGCATCGGAACACTTGGGGCAGCGGGTCATGATGATGATGAGTCTGGGATAGGACTATCTTTGTCGACACATCTTTCGCTGCCCTCAACCACGACGTTTTTCCTCGTAATATTCAAAGCTTTGGACTGAAAAGGAGAGAAAATAATGAGTGCGGCTTAAACCTGGTACTGGCCTATCGCAAGCATTCCGAAGTGCCTACACCTTCAAGCGTTCAATCAGGAAGTCTAAAAAACTGACAGGATGAGTGCCACTAACATCCTTCAGCCGCCATTTCTCGCCTCCAGCCAAGTGCAGGAGTGGTCACGGCGACCTCATCCTGGTAAGCGTGTTGCACTTACGACACCCGAACTCTTCGTATTTTTTTCACATCCTTCTGGAAAGTCATACATTGTCCACCTCGCTGCTTGAGCCATTCCGAAGGAGGCGTTGAAAATAACACTCTTCTCGACAGATGATGTTTCGGCATGCAGAGGACATAGCTGACCAGCCTTTGTTGATGGCATTGAATGTTTTCTGCGACTAAGTTACCTACTGGAATGGTGATGTGTGGTGGGGCACGGATAACGATCCCGATGTGTTTGGAATCAGTTCGGTGACTCAATATTGGATCCCTTTGTGGCTCTGATTGGTGTCCCTGTGGCTTGCGTGGAACTAGGTGCGTTTCCAATTGTTAATAGCTTAGCACGCATCATTAATTTCGGACAACGCTCTTGACACCATGACGATTTCTGTCAAGGATTAGCCGACTTGATTCTTTTATTGTGTCTGAATGCGTGGCCCTGTCGTTTTTCCGTCTCACTTGCACACCAGCTGGATATACACCGTAATAACCAACACCTATCCTTCTCATTTGAGAGCAAAATTGTAACCAAAAAATTTTGCCCAGAATCTTTTTTTTCCTGGTGATGTGGTGACTGCACAAATTCGGTGTTGGGTGTAGGTAAACCCCTCCATTCTTTATTGATTCCGGTTTATATTCCCTTACCACAGTTTTAAATGAGTACATTGATAGTGCTTTTTCCATTTTTAGGTTATCCCAATTTCCATGAGCAGCAAGATTTTCGCCTTTGCTCATCTTCCTCTCCTCGCTACACAGCCAACCCGCCATATAAGGCATAAACCATGGCTGCCGAAGTTCAGGCTCATAAGGCAAATGCAACCCTGGACTGGTCCAATAGATCTCAGTGCCCATCGTCCTCCAGCCACAGCTGGTGAAACCCCGGCTGCTCTCCGTGCCCATCTTCGAAGAAACGGTTTGCTACCCCCCTTGATTTTCCGAGATAACCCAATCACCATTGGCCACTCAGGTACGCACCTGAACTTCTTCTGCGCGGGTATTTCCCGAGTTCATAATTCGTAAATTACACCTTATAATTTCAGTGTCTAGAGGTTTTCAATCACCATATGTTGTCTTTCATTTCAAACTGATGGTTGACTGACCCACGAATTGCAAAATTGATAAGAGGTTCGAAGCGGGAGATATATCTTAAATGTGTCAATCCTCAGCATGCTTATTATCGATCCTGAACATGGTCGCATCGGCTTTTTGCCGCACTATTCGGTTGTTTTGTTTACCCGCTTTGTATGATCATCCCTGGAACTTTGTCTTTGTGAGTATATGTAAATAGCAAACGGCCTTCACTCTCGTTTCGGTGGGTACCACCACTGAATCCAAAAGGATGTCCCACCTCTGACATCTCCAAGAGATTGGACTTAGTCGGAATCGCTCAGGCCGGTGTGTGTAAGCACACACTCTCTTTCAGACCAGTCTGCTTAGGCTTTCCACATAGACATTTCCAATATGTGCTGCTGATATTATCCGCCACACCTCTTGTAGGACCAGGACCAAGCCATTATAGAAGTCTTCGGCTGATATCGTACATTACGTGTCCCACCAGGAAAGCGGATGGTGTGGCTCATCTGGGTGTCAGTCTATATCATCTCAGGAATCTGATGGTAGACTGCCTCCCCCCATTATCCGACTGTGACCACCGTCCCGGTATATACACTTGCTTGGGACCCATGCATACTGGGTTGTTGGGATAGACGCTGGGGTAATGGTTGTTCTGCCGGTGTGTAAGAACGTACAAGATCTCCTGTTATATCCTCGATTGACCCCGTCATCTCATATTGAGTAGACGTGCACCACAATCCTTCCGCTCTAGGAAGAACTGAATAAAAACATTCCTGAGGTTTAAGCCCGCCCAGGTGTGTGTTCATCGTTGTCAAAACCGGGTTTATCAACTTCGGTTAAAAAACACTAACCACCGATGAAAGTTACCACCAGTATAAAAGACGGTCTTCCAAGGCTAAGGAATTACACTCCATCCTTCAGATTTGGCATCTGGGGATGGTATGACAGCCTACACTAACTTCTCTTTCTTACAGGTATATCGGGAACTATCACATTTCTCTAAACGAACAATAGCTGTATTAGTTGGCTTCTGAACACTGCTGAGTTGGGCTGATAACCAGGTGGGCCGTTTTGTGGTGCATTTGGTTGCAACAGAGCTGAAAATATATATGGAATATATATATATATATCTGAGTAAACCTCAGAGGGTTAACCAAGGAAGTTTTCGAAAAGATTACTGCAGATGCATACTTTACAGGACTGTCTACCCACCATACCACGAAATCCTTCGGCTTATATATATATATCTGAGTAAGCCTCAGAGGGTTAACCAAGGAAGTCTTCGAAAAGATTACTGCAGATGCATACTTTACAGGACTGTCTACCCACCATACCACGAAATCCTTCGGCTCAAAACTCACTGGGATAATCCAGGTCTTGCTTCACTGTGCTTGAAACCCATACGCTGAAACCGACTTTGGTCATGTACATATGCTCTAACGCTGTGCTAATGATGGCCACAAGAACAAGTCATACACTGAAGTTGATACTCCGAGTACTTATAAAAACCGACAAAATTATTTCACTCTGAGACTTCAATACGCGTGTCAGTTTAGACCATCCATTGTGGCCGTGCGTCCTTGGACTCCATAGCATCGAGACTGTAGAAGCTAATGATGACCGACCTAGACTCTGGATTTTATGATGAGCCGAAACATGTCGCCATATGAACCATCATACTATAGTCACACTCATGTACTCGATTATCGTTCGCCGCGGAGAATTTCGAGAGATGGCGTCATTCGAGTGACGCTAGGAGCCAACTGTGGAACAAACCACCAGCTTGCCCAGACGAAGCTTAACATCCTGATTCGCGAGCCAAAATACTTTAGTTAGGTTATTGGACGGATGAAGTTTGACGTGATAGGTTGGGAAGATCCGGAAACCAAGCTTATGTGACAGCATCTACTGACCTCCAGATCGAGAGCCTTCAACCTATTCACACCGCCGGCAGGAGCATGACACAGCTTGAAGCACATTATGGTGATGATAGTCCTGCATCCAGGGCTCCCTGACTGGTCTGGCGGTAAAACAACGAGCACATACCAACTGGTAACTGAAATGAACTAAGCTTTTACAGCATCTTTTGTCCATCCAGATAGCGAGGTCGAGGAGTAGCAACTAAAGGGTACTATAAAATGCCCACCTCAGCAACACAACTGCACCAACTGTGAATAATTAGGTTAACACTATGAGTAGCTTGAAGAATCCGCTAGTCTGTGAGAGGACAGAGAGTTGCGATTCCTTGCAAGCCACCAAAACGATCGAAAGCTTCCAGGATGCTGACACGTACACTCCCTCCGGAAATATTGGGTATGTGGTGCAAGTAGCCGAACAAACTTTCCAACCGAACGACCATCGTCTACTGGATTGTAGTAAATGGAATGTCCCAACAAGAGGTGAATCTCCTCCTAGACCTTTCACTCACCGTCGGAGGGATGCGGCGGGTGCACATGCATATGCGACTTGGCAGGTTATACAGTGATGACATGGTTGCAGCAGAACTGTTCGAATATGGTGGCCTGATATTTGAGGATGCATCTTTCTAACTGACCACCATGACAGGAAGAGGGATTTCTGTCAATTAAAAAAATGCCCAAATCGTGCCATTCTACGAAGGAAGGGGAAGCACACTTCACCAAAATATTGCACAAACATCCTGCTGACCCGCTGGCAAGCTTCTGGCACAAGCTATTCAGCCGCAAGGTTGCTGAGGTGCCACCCTAACACTAGTGTTTCCGGCACGTAAAGATGTGATTATAGTTGTCCATCGTTAAGCAGACACAGTTGAATANNNNGGGAAGCACACTTCACCAAAATATGGCACAAACATCCTGCTGACCCGCTGGCAAGCTTCTGGCACAAGCTATTCAGCCGCAAGGTTGCTGAGGTGCCACCCTAACACTAGTGTTTCCGGCACGTAAAGATGTGATTATAGTTGTCCATCGTTAAGCAGACACAGTTGAATACCAGTCAGCATTAGTTGTCCATATATGTGTGCTTTTGGTAGTTTTCGTAAGTGGCGCGGGGCACCATACCAACCTTCATGTACATTGTTTAGCTTTACTCACTTGGCTTTATGATTACGGGCTATCAGTTTTACATGATAACTGCTTTAAAACCATCCCCTCCTGTTCACTCTCTGGCTTTACTCCTTCGGGTTCACACAAATATAGGGCATTAAATTGGATGTGCGTGCAGCTCAGCACAAACCTCATGTGTCGTTACCTGCTGCGCATTGAGATCCATTCATCATTTATTATGATGCTGATCTGGGAACGAGTGCTGGTCCACCAGATAGGAGGAATGATTTCTTTGGCGACCTTACCTCGATTCAACCAAACAGAATTTACTTGGGGAGAACGGTAGCGCGTAATTATGACAGTTTTTCGGTGCTGAATTTTTTGTCGTTACTTTTCATCGATTGACCATTCTGGTATCCATGGGTTAAGTATGTGTACGGTAGAAGGAACTGCAAGGTGTGGGGTGATTGCTCGGGACCCACAATTGTTGTAGAGTATGCCGGAATCTGAGCTGTACTCACTCGACTCAGTACAGAACTCTAATGTGCTTTGTGATCAAATATTAGTACTGTGCCCTTCCGTTTGGTTGTCACCCGGATAGCACGGTTCTTCACTGAAACCTTTCCATTCTGAGGGTAGTTCTTTACTGGTATGTTCACCGTTCAAAACCCATTTTCGTCATTTTTTCACGATTTCGGCGCTCTGTGAACCTAATTCGTACGTCACGGGTGGTATGTCTCTATTTTCCGAAGGACAGTTATCGATACTTTCCCTGCGCATGATACCACAGTTGGTGCATTTCCAAGAAAAAGTGCTATATGTGTATACAGCCACACTGGTAGTGTGCTGATAACTTAACTAAGTAAACTCATTCTACACTGGGAGGCATTGCTTCAATGGGACCATGAAACATTTTGTTGTAGCGGGAATATTTCCATGCAATTTGGATGTTGCTAGTTGGATTTCTAGCAGGTTTCCGCCGTAATAAAAACGTTGGGGTAACTACGTTCTTTTGGTTTTCTCGATCACTGTGGTAGTTAATTCCAGACAGTAAGTCATTCCAGAACAAGGGATTTCGATGCATTTAGATTGCACCAATGGTCTGGTTGCCGCAATACTCTCAAGACTTATCTGTTGTGGTTTCACTCCTCAACATTTGATACTGACCAGCTTACACCGCTACAGTAGATAAACCTGTTGATTTCCCCACTTATGTTATTTACTATATAAAGTACTTGACTTTTTATTCCACAAGGTTATCAGAATCATTTGACGAATACACTTGCTTGCATACCAATGTGGTTTTCACCTGAGACCTACTGAATCTCTCGTTCATGGTATTCATTAGCTCAACGTGTTGCACGAACACCGTCTCATGTTTCATTTGGTACGCTATTCGAGATATAGCAGCATAGGCGCTTTGTGTTGCCGGAACGATTGTACTGTGTTTTGTTCACTTGTGTTCCCCAACAACTTTTCGTGATTCACCGGCAGCCACACATTTTGTAACGCACGAAAATTCTCGCACTTGTGTTCCCATTTTTTTCCAGGCCAAGTAACTGACCCCTATACTCCTCCGGAAGGCGATGGGCATGCGTCAGTTCTCTCTTTAAGGGTGGGTGTTACTGAATATTATTATCATTATTAACTTTTTGTTCAGAGGGTTGGTTTGCAATCAGACAGTCTACTCAAAAAAGGAAAGTCCTATCGAGACACGTTGAAAATCAGACGACACGAGCCCACTTTCAACCCGAAGACATTTGCAAGTGAAGCCAGTGAAATCTACCAAGAAGCCCACGAATTGCTCCAAGAGTGAGTAATTTACCCCAGTCATACTGTTGTTGTTTTTGGCAGTCCGGTGGGGGGGGGGGAAGAACATATCTTCCAGTGACTGAACCGTACTCCTAAGCGGTCAGGGCTAGGACAGTGAGGTGAAGCACGACGATCTTCATTACCTTGGTTTATCCAACCAAATGTAGCGTGCCTGGAGGAAATTGGCTAAAGATGCGATGTGTCGACTGATCGCGGACTCTTTCTATAAAGGACATAATATCACCACGCATTGCCTTCTCGCCAATCCCAATATTGATGACATACGGTAAAAGCAGAAAGCGGCTACAATTAAGATTATCCAGTCGATTGCTTCTTGCGGTAGATTTGAGGCGTGTTCAGCCAGCAAATAATCTCCACACTCCGTTATCTAAACCCCATGCTTTACCGGCGCTTTAGCAACCTAAACTCACCCACTCACACAGTTCACGAATCACGGTGGATAGCAAAAGATTATTAGGTAAAACAGTCCACTTATTAACACAACACCTTTTTAAGCGAGGTCCGCATCCCGAGTGTTTTCTTCGGGTGGCATGGCAGCTGGGCACCGAAAGGGTGCTATAGCCGAACAGTTATTGTTTTTATTCCTGTGCCTCATAGAACTATATAATTTTCTTCATCCGATTCCTCAGTGAATCCCTAATTTTTTCGATGGTTAGAGCGAGAGTCCATGAGGAATTAAAAATACCAGGTGTTCCCCATTGAAGGATCCCACCGCACATGACTCTGCCACACATTTGACAACCTCTATCCCACAGCTGAAAAAAAGACCTTTAAACCAGTTGTACACTGGATCCGGCTATCTCGGTTTTTTGTGTACCGATTATCAAGGAGGCGAATAAGAGTTGAAATATTTAAGCGTTGAAGATGACAACTTGCTCCTGATGCACTGATGGATGCGACCGTATAGATGCTGTTTCTGAGTGTGGAGTCGACATCAGGACCAGAAATTAAAAATTGGTTGCAAAAGTTATACCAAGCGTTAATCCGAGCTAAAATTACCGGTAAAAAGGGTAGATTTTTGAGCCTTCAAAGCACCTCCACCAAGTTTACTTCCCACCGCTTGAAAGTTATTAGTAGTGCCTTGTATTGAAGACCCAGTAAACCATTATGAAATTTGCTATATATCTGACTTATGAAATAACCTAAATGCTATCAGTTAACTATTTAAGCTCCGTTAGTTACACCATTAATACAACCGACATCTCCTCTCGGCTAGTAGTCATGCTTCACTGGCACTGTCTGTTCGTCCATAACAGCACCCAGCTCTACGAAACAACTCCCTGATTTCCTCATCTGCCTTACAGCTTCAAATCAAATGAATCTCGGTTGTTGGAACTTGTGACAGAAAAGGCGTTCTCGGTAAGTATCCCCATATTATTTGTCTGATCACCGTCAACTCTTCGATCCGGTAGAAAACGCTCTAAGCCACAAGTCTTTAATGCGGGTATTTCTGTGTGCAAGTTAGGGGTCCTGGCACGGCTGCAGTCTTCATTGTGATTACGTACTGTCCTGTAAATCAAAGTTGACGTGGTTAGCTGGTCATTACCGTCAAATCAAGTGTTCGTTGAAGCTTCCCGTTGGTGCGTACTTTGTAAGAACTAAAAAAGATGGATTGCTATATCTAGATTACCTGGTTTATCTTGCCATGTTTGAGTGTCTTCCCACCAAAATATTCCACTTCATTCCCATAATATTAGTTTTAGAACCTTTCTACCCGTTTTTAATTTCACAGGCTGAATGTGACCTGCTTGTTTTTTCTTTTGGGACCACATCAGGAAATGACGAAAGGTCTTCAGTTCCGCACGTTACGTTGGCAGTTCATTGCGAGTCTTGAACCTCCTCGTGTCGTTCACATTCGAACTCAGGAACTAATGTCAAGAGACAATCTTTACGGTCAGGTGACTGTTCGATTCCATTCTCAGCAGGTGAGTCATGTCTGTTGGTTACAAATTCCGCACTTGATTAATGAACTCGTTTCTTTACCGCTTGGTTTACTTTCCTTTGGAGTATGTGCTTCTGGAAATAAGCTTATTTCTTCTGCTGGGCGGTACTGTTTGACTGGGAGCGCCAATAGGCGCGGGACGAACACTACGGCGCACAGGTAATGGTTCGCGCTGAAACAGTTGGGACATTTTTACTGAGCTGAGAGCATTTTCAATACGGTCCGGAACAGGCCAATCTTTTCATGCATAGACAGTCCTAAAGTTATCGTGGTGTGTTGCTTGGTACATGGTTCGGAAGTTGATCTTATTACAGAACCAAATACCTGCTTTTTTATCACCTACTACCCTGGTCCTTAAACATTAGTTATCAAGGAATCGCTTCTAGGAATGACGATATCTCGTAACCTTTCAAGCATGATACTTCTATACACGACTCCCGCGATCCATTAATATGTTTTCAGGTGACAAGCATCGCAAATTGCCTACCTCAACCAGGATTTTCCAAATTCTTGCTTAGATTTAATTCACACGGCTCTATTGTAATCGGTTCATTTCATCGAGGTACCTTAAACAAGCACTTATTCAGCCTTTACTCCTAGATGCCTTTTGACGTCTGCTGACGATCTCGCCTCTTTGTAAAACTGCACCTGGTCACGCTTGTTTGCCTGATAGAGTAAACTCCAGGCAAATTCAATTCATGGCTACCATTTATGCCGTCAATCCGAATCGCCTGGTGGACCTGACCTCTGTAGCCTTTCCAGTAAAATTTCGCAATAGCATTTCCCATGAGTGTTGCAAACTAACAGCGGCCACTCATTGAAGAATTTGGAAAACAAAATTTTTCACATCTAAAAAACTGCCTAAGTAAACTGGTCTTCGGTACGGGCAAGGACTTGCTGACCGGAAGCTTGTGGTTCGAATCTAACTCCGACATCTCGACTGCTCTGTCTGGGCTTTGGAAACTTGACTGTATCTCGGCCCTCGTGCTTCCTTCAGGGGGCACGGCAACTAGGCACCGAAAGAGTGCCACAGCTGAACGATTTTTTTCTACTGACAAACTCAATCAATACACTGGTTCATCCTACTAGGTGTGTTTAGACTTGTGCCAGGAATTATCGGGAACAGGCTAAGAGAACGGAATTTGTATTCATCAATTCGTACTCAACCTAATGGATTGCGTTTTATAAGGTCTGTATAATCTACTTCGCTTCACTTTTGTACCAGTCGATAGTGGATCTTAAGATAATTATCTTGCGGAAGTCGGAGTCGGATACTGGACACAAAAAAAGCTCGAAAGATTGTCGCTAATCTCAGTTCCATCCTGGAAAGACACTTTTCCGAACATCTGGAACTCCACATTATTGGTTGACACAGCCGTGATCGGGATGAAAGCCTGCTGGTTCTTCTCCATAGTTGGCTTTTCTTGGTAATATAGATTGACGCAAGATGGCGTTGATCAGCACTTCGGACTCATTTGTTTTTGTTGCTTTTGTCATCCATACTCTCGTTTTTACTCAGATGTTCCAATCCTCTGTTCCACCATAGATCATGGCCATATTCGACCGTTTTGGACGCTTATTGTTTGGAAACCCTGCCGTGCCAGTTGACGTACTGGAATATGTAGTTTTGGAAAAACACATCAGCGATGAGTATGGTATATGGCGGTTGCACGCGAAAATCTTCCCACCACGTGCACCCCCGCTTGGCGCGCTGGTCCCCACACATCGATTGCTTTCTGAGCAACACGTTCCATCGACCGAACTAGTACAACCGCCCCAGCTCAGCACTGAGACAGAATGATCGGTATCTTCACTCGTCTCCTTTACTACCCGGCTCCTGTGTACAATGATGATAACTGAGGACAATGTTATGAATAAACCACTTACATTGTCAGTGAATTTCACTCATTCGCAAATCATGCTGGCGCTAACTGCGTCTGTCGTTTGTAATATTCGGCCATACTTTTAGTTGTCTAATCGTGCTAAGCCTACCATGTACGGACACTTGGCAATTACTTCTACTCTGTTACGTTTGAGCTGTAGAACGGAAAAATCGCTATATTTTCATCCGCCTTATCGAGCATGAGCATTTTGTTATGTGAAAATTGGGCTAATTAAGTTTGGCGTTCCAGTATTGGTTGGTAATCCGATTTAGGACATGCTAGCTTGGCGGGCCGTCTGTTTTCTAGGACATTTTAATTGATATTGGTCGGTCTTCAGTCTCAAAAACTTATTTGCGTATGATACTGAAGGCGTCGCTACAGTGAAAAAATTGCATTAACTGGTCGACCTGTAATTTCTAGAGGCCGGACTTGTTACTCATGATGAGTAAAATAATTGGAAAATTTGTCCTGTTGGCACAAAGTGAACCGGTGGCTCTGTTTTGCTTATGTGAGCTCATTGGTCACCAGCAGTGAGAAGTATGTGAACTTGTAAGTGAAATGACTTGTGCAACAAGAAATTCAGAGTCAGTCAGCGCAGCGGAAGTGACAGGTCTTAACGATACGCAAGCAGTAAATGAACACTTGAGTTGAACTATCAGACGCTAGATGTGGGCCGCAGTCACCGAGCACCAATTCCAACACCGGTCCGCAGTCAACCTGTGGACTGCAGCAAAATGGGAGCGCGGCAACTACGGAGGGATGCTTTTAGGCACATAGATGTTTCTAAGGCTGGATTACTGTACCCTTCCCTGGCTTTACAAAAAACAATGCTAGCGTCGTCCTCGATCAAGATGTCGGTCTCCTGTCTTGATGTATAATCTGCTGTGTTCCCTTGCCTCAAAACTGATCACATACACCACAAGAGCTAGTGATGGGTGTTACTCACTGCACCTAAACTTCATCTATTCATTCCCGTCTCCATGGCTGCTACAGATCTGACCACTCGTTTTTCACGCGTACTGACAACTCGCAGAGCTTGCCGACGCCGTTGTCATTGATGACCACCTCAGGGTCAAGTAACAAGTTGACAAGAGGTGCGAGCGCCCTGAAGCTCTTAACGTGCGTAGATCTTGACTCCTTCCACTGAAGTTGGCGATTCATCAACACTCCTGATCTGTGTAATCATCAAAAGTAACAGTCTCGCTGAACTTTTTCCAAACTTAGTACTGTTTTGACCATGTTTGTACTGGAAGATCATTCCCTACCCCAACAGACTGCCTGCGCAAAATTCTGTCCTCAAAATCTGCAACATGTTTTGAGTTATAAAATTGAGTAAATTTTTTACAAACGGTTTCGGTCTGAGCACACCAACATACAATCAAGTCATTCTGTTGCACCGTCAAATGAAGGGGTAGATCCAAACGAACGGAGATCTACCCGCTGCGCTCGCAGTAGTTCATCGGATAGCTCAAAAACAGACATACGGCGGTGAACAACCTGAAGGTTAACGGATCGGTCTCATAACCCCTAGCATCGATCTCTGCTGTGCACAATTAGTCGAAGGCCCTACGTTGGCCTCCTCAGCTCATAATTTCTAGTGCTTGCTGGCAGTGTATTCTGGTTTTACAGCATCAGTGTCTAATTGCCCACGGATTTCTCGCCGTCAGGCACATCAAGTTGGCAGCCTAAGCTTTTTGCGATGAACACAGTGGGCACGATCCCTATTCATTCAAATGGTTTTCGTGGATTCCACTGGCGTCTAACGTACCAGTACGTTTGCCTCCGGAGGTTGGTACCCCATCTACGGCATGGTGCGCCAAACTGTTTAAGAAATGATTGACTCTGTCTCTTCAAAATTCGACGGCCGAAAGCGAATCGGAGTCATGATGCATCTGCTTCACCGCAGAATACACCCAATTCGCAATTTTTAGCCAAATGGCTGCTCAATAATTCTTGCTTAGCCATTTTACGAGATATCGGTAGGTGTACAGAAACACACGAAGGTAAAGACGCAGGAAGACGATTGTCCTTCAGTACTCTCAACATCTTATCCAATTTCAAGGATGCTTGATTACTCACATGCTGGGTTTAAAATTTCCTTCGGCAGGTCACGATACTCTGAGTGCAAGAACCCGATCACGCCCTTTCATGAGGCTTGGATTCTGCTGCTTCTTGAATGGCGCACTGTACTGGTGATTTACTCCTGAAGTGGGTCGCGTACCAACAGACAAAGCGGGGCTTTGGTGGTTGAGCTGCACACCGAAACCCACTTCCGGGTTCCTTGGCTGTTTGCTAACCTATGAGGGAACTATCTATTGTTTATCCAGCGTGACCCCATTCATCTCTGCGATGTGAGGTCAACGTGGAGCATCCAACCCAAAATCCACGTACGCTTTGGTCTGTCGTGCAGTTCTGCACTACTTAACTCGTGTGCTTGTCCGTCTTTTACTTGCTTACTTCCATATCGCAGAGTACCGGCTGATTGCAGAAGCCGCAATCTACAAATGTATACGTGTATACAAAAAGCGTTAATCAACTAAACAGCAGGTTCGTGACAAAAAACGATTTACTGTTCCCTTTTTAACTCTATGCTTCCATATTTGGACCTGTAGATTATTTGGCAATTGCTTCGGAACTATATATTTTACTGTTTGCTTTACCGTGTTCAGTGTATCAGATAGCATCGATGGGCTCTGGTATGAGATCCATCTTCACATGGACTACATTTTACTGACCTCTGAATACACGCGAAGTGCATCCTAGGGATTTCATACTGACGTCGCTGCCTGTAAGGCTGAGCAGCTCTTGCCACGGTGCGTCTAGGTATGCGCTGTGGCCACCCGGATGGCGCATCAGACCCATGCGCCTCAGTCGGTCCCGTAGCGTATTGTCGTCATATGTAGCCGGACGCTGAAATGCGTTTTTAAACTAAAGTAAATCGATCGCTAAAGAAAGGTTTTTGTCTGGCGTTTATCCTATCACCAACCTTGCCTCGCTCATCTCTTTTGCAGTAGACGGGGGAGCTTCCAATTATCTCAACCGGAGCGTGCTGTGCGGAGTACTTAAATGCCTCAGAGCAATATGGATTTCACTGTGTGACAAGATTCTTCTGGACGTTTGTGTATTTGCTCTCTGTCTGTGAACCGCGAGACGAATTTGATGATGTCCTGGGTTATATTTGGTGGCCCAAAACCGGACGCATGAATCCTAATGGCCTCGCTACCTGCCATCGCTTAATAGAGTAGCAGATCGGCAGATATCGGTCCTGATAACTTCTCTGCAATCAAGCGATGGGGCTTGTAGAATCTATCTGTCCATACCCAGCCTGCCCGACATGTTCAAATGTATTGCGAATCGTTTGGATCACCCAGTGCATTACTAAGTGCCCATGCCAATGGTAGCCGTAAACCGAATTCCCTGAGAACCAGGACCAGTCCTCTGATTTCCATCCTCCAATGTGGTTTCCTTCCCGGTCAAGGACTTGGGAAATGGTAACGCAGGATGCCATGGTGATTAGTGAGATTCTTACGTATTTCTCAAATCTTTAAAACAGCTGTGAATGAGTGGTGTGTTGAGGCCTTTGGCTATTTGTACATCCAAATTATTTTCGCCGAAATTATATGGTTTTCGAAGTTGTGACTTCAACGAGGAGTTAGTCTAACTCACTTGCACCTTTCGATGATATTTTGCTGATACCATTTTGCTTAAGTGAGCGTAATTTCAAGGTGACGGACCACCAATGATTCGTATTTTCCACCGGTTTACTCGACATAATACAGGAAATCGCACTTTTGCATATTTCGACGTTCTTCGGCGCTCTTTGAGAATAAAAAACATATAATTCAAACTTCACCTCGGAAGACCGGTTGTTGACGTTTGTTTACTTCACACATCTCAGATTTAACAAATGTGATCATAATCCCAAAATACATTTCGTTCGGCGAATCTGGTCACAACACATTTTCTCATGGATCACAACTTCCATCAAGCACGACATTGTTGGACAACAGCATGAACTGTGCATTAGCGATGCGGGAGTCATCGCTGTGGACAATCCCCCTTCTCAGATGTTCATAACTAGCTTATAGATAATACAGCGTCACGAGATAGCTGCAGGTATCGTTCCTCTTATGAATACGACGCTCTATAGGTGGTGACTGCCATAAAGCGGTCGCCATGATAACGGTAGCCGTTGTCACTCACCTCGACTACTTATCGTAACTGCTGGGTCCGTGTCTATGTACGACGCTGACTGTGGGACCTCACCTATGCACGGCAGCCTAATTCAGCGACCAACTCAAGGTTCTACGCGTTGTCACTCATCCCGAATACTTATTGTAATTGCCAGGCCTGTGTCTGTGTGACGCTGATTATGGGGCCTCACTTATAATAATAATAACATAATCCAATTGCCAAAGACGGTCTTTTGTACGCGATGCCGCTTATCTTTGCCACCTATAGCAAAACCCAGGCCGGTAAAAATGAGGCCCCAACTGTGCGTGATAGCCTAATATGATGGCCTGTCATACTTAATGCTGTACCCGATGTTGCCTTACCTAGCTACTTATCGTACCTGCTAGTTTCGTGTCCATGTTCGGCGCTGGTTAACCGGTAACTTAATCCAACCTTATCTGTCGTACTCGTAACTATACGCGTTGTCGTTCATCTTTTCTACTTATGATAAACACAGGGCCACTATTTATGCGAACCGATGAATACGAGGCCCGAACGATGCATGCATACCTAATCTAATGGCGAACCACAGACCTCATACTCATAAATGTATGCTATACCGCCTACCTTGACCACTTTATGAAACTGCTATGGCAGTGCCTATATGCGACGCTGATTACTAGGCCACAACTATGCGCAGTTTCCTAATTTAACTTCCAACGATTACTTGTCATACCCACAATTGTGCGCGCCCACGCTTATCTCCGCTATTTATAGTAAACCTCAGTCCAGTATCTGTGCGGGCCAATAAAAATGAGGCCCCAACTATGCGTGATATCTCACTTTAACGGCCAGCGATGGCATGTCATATTCATGACTGGAGCGGATATCACCTACGTTACCCACTTATGGTAATTGCGAGGCCTGTGTCTATGTGCAACGCTGAGTATGAGACTTCAGCCCTACCCAGTAGCCCAGTCCAACGGCCAATGAAGGCCCATCGTACTCATAACCAAATTAGATGCC